AGTGACAGTAGGAGTCTGGACCAGAGGCAAGAAGGAGACATGGAGGACCCCAATAATATCAGAAATGCAGGAGGGGTGCTGTGCTGGAGTCCAGCTCCAGTAGGGTTCTTGTGCTGCAGGATGGATGTGTGAAGTTGACGAAAAATGAAGAGTCTGACCACTGGTTGTCTTTCAAACTGATGGCCCCGACTAACTCAGGGTGTCTGTGTTTAAACAAGTTCTAATGCATTCAGGCCTGAGCAGTTTCAAATCATTTTTAATCATTTTCCAAGAATCATTAACATTTTAGTTTCTCTTCCTCTTTCCCACTCCCTTGACATCATTGACCTTTACCCCATATCATTATAGGGCAGGCCAATTATTTGTATCTAGCGAGGTACATCTTATTCTCACTGTGCCCCAGCCAGCAGCAAACGGTGCGGTTACAAAGTAAGAGATTTGAGCCCTGTGATTAGTTCTTAACAATATGAAATCAGCTGAGTATATTGCGATGCCTAGGATATCATTTTCAGCTATGTATCAGTTTCTGAGTAATCTGTCTGTCACCTTTATTATGTGGATTACAGTTATAATCCTGTTCTTTACAAGTTCTCAAAATAGTAATGATTAATACTTCTTTAACTATTGAGACCAAACTTCCATTCTTCCCGGCAATTTCTGCATGTACTTTTCTTTTAATGAACTGGGAGTTTTAGATTCCTTTATTGATACTTTGATAGTGGGAAAATATCTGAGTGTTCATGTCCTGGTGCCAGAGAGATGTCTGATCTTTCATGTCCTGTATCTTTTCCTTATATGCTTCTGTAAGTTTTTAATGTCATCTTTAAAAAAAGTTTTCCAGGTTATTAAATTCTTTGGAATATATTTATCGCTTTTTAGAATTGGATAATCAATAATCATTAACCTTAGTGAGTTTCTCTTGATTATTCAGGTTGACTGCAAAGGCAGCCAGGGGTGACTGGAGAAACTGGTTTCTGTAACAGATCAGAGAAATTTAATTTTCCTATAAAGACTTTTGTTCCCAGTAAACTCAGGCATAATCATGACTAACAAAGCAAAACTAAGAGTTACCATAGGACTAAGCATAGCGAAAGTTAGAGAAGTCTGATGCTCATGTGAGTTCCCCAAGATCAGCCCAGGAGTTTGCAGTGTGGTACCCATAGGTCCTTGTCAAATGGATGGGCTCCTCTAAAGGGCCGTGCCGTCTAAGGAGCTCCACGTGCAAAGCATTAATGTGCCATTCCCAGGGGTGACAGCATGGCTTCAGCCAATGTTGTCTAGATGCTCTAGATTTTTACATACTGAGACCAGCTCAGGGAAGTACTCTAGGAGTCTCAAGATTGACCCATGATTTACTGGCAGGGCCCCAAGTTATGAATTCTTCCAACTAGCTGGTGGCACCTTCCTTCCTAGGCCTACTGCCTGCCCATAGCCTTTGTTCACTTTGGAACTATCCAGTACCTCTCTTTCTGTCCACAGGTATAGCAAGGTAGCTTCTGGTTATACACAACACAGTCTCCAGCACCAGGGCAACAATCAGGCTGAAGCTTGCAGACTAGACCAGAGGGTCTCGGCCTATACTACACAAATGCTCTATTGTATGAACATATGCAGTTTCCTTTTAGCAAGTCATTCTTGAGACACCATGGCACTACTGCTGGCAACTTCTCATCTTGCTCTGCCAGCCAGATCGGTGCCATGCAGGAGCACAACAATAATAAAATGGAGATCACAAGCCTAAAGTTGGACATGGCTTATATTCAGTCTGGTCTTGAGGGGGTGTGCTGTTACAGGATTCCCGCCTGGGTCCCGTTGCTGCTTCAGAGCCTCCAAATAACACATAGAGACTCTATAAGTTATCATGGTGTTGGCCAGTGTTTAGGACTTCTTATAGGTTAGCTCTGTCTTAAGTATTAATCCATAGCAATAATTATATATTTTTACAAGGTCTTATCTTACCGAGAACGCCAAAGTCGTGTGTCCTCTCCTCCCTGGATCACATGGCAACTCCTACTCCATTTCCCAGAATCCCCCTTCTCTCCTAGTCCAATCTATCTTACTTCCCTATTAGCCAACAGTGTTTTATTCATTAACCAATAAGAGAGACATATACGCAGAAGGACTTCCCCCGTCAGTGTGCCTCAGAGATTAGGTAACACAGCTGACATCCCAGACCTGCCGCTTCAGAGAAGTTGCACTCTGAAATGGTTTGGAACGTGCACGCACCTGATGGGGGATGTCCTGTATATATGCTTCTCTTATTGTTTGATGAATAAAACACTGGCCAGTAGCCAGGCAGGAAGTATAGGCAGGGCTACGAGAGGATGCGGAGAGAGGTCGCAAGGTAGATGCCATGTAGTGGTCAAAAGGAGTAACATGCTGGAGAATTACAGGTAAGCCACAGCCTCGTGGCAATACATAAATTAATAGTTATGGGTGAATAATTAAGAGAGAGCTAACCAGTAAGAAGCCCGCACCATCAGCCAAACAGTTTATAACAAGTATAAGCCTCTGTGTGTTTATTTGGGACTAAACAGCTGCAGGACCAGGCAGGACAGAAACTTCCCATCATCAAAATTGCTTTTCTCAGGTACTTAGTCTTAATGACACAAAAGTCTGAAAAATACTGCTTTAAGCAGGACGCAGCAAGCAACACAAAGCTTCAGTGGAGTGATGTCTTTTTGGCTGCAGTTTAGTAGTCAGCCCCTTTATGGCAAAGTCATGTGTTACCTACTTTGCTGTAAGATTTTTAACAAAAAAAGAAGTCTGCCCCACCCCAATGGCAGCCCACAGGGACACCTGATCAGCAGGTATATCACCTCATTAGCTTTCATTAAATGAACTCTGTGGTGTAGGAAATTGTTTATTCTTGCCAAAGCAGGTATGCACCAGGGATTGGAAGACCTAATTAGATCACATTCCTCATGAAAGTGATGTCTGCACATTTTGTGCTTCCTTTTAAGCTGCGGAGGGGGGATCCTCTCCGATGCATGGGTTGTTTGCATGCCCTAATTAGAAGGTCACCCCATCTGCTGGTACTGGGCCTAGTCTAATCAACACCTCCCCTTCTGTCCTCAAGTTCCTTTAGACTGGGCCCTCTTTGCCCAGATAGACTTTCACACCTGTCTTAGCAATTGTGGGAGACAAGCTTTGAAAGGTCTCCTCAAAACCCCCAGTTAATGACCTGGTAATTATTGTGGTGACTCTTCAATGAAGTGTGAAGTGCTCAGCTAGCTGTCAGCTGAGGATCCCAAGACACCTGGAAGAGGAACACAGAAGAGAAAGGGCGGGTGGGACCAAGAGCAGCCCAGATGTGCCTTGCAGGGCTCAATGGCAGCCCCCTCTGGCCTGAGAAATAGCCCTGCCTGAGGGTGGTTCAGCCACCGGGAGACCCTGATGACAGAAAATGCCTCTGTGAACTCCTGACATCTGTCTGACTAGCCTCTGGGAACACTACCTTGGCCATCCTCAAGCTCTCACCCATATTATAGGAAAACAATGATGAGGGCAAAGCCCTAAGTCCTCTGTTTCACACAGTCAACGGCATTGTCCTTGGGCCCCTCCCAGATGGTCCTCTCCCTGTATCCTCTCATTGGTGTGGAGAGGGAATGTTTCAGTCCAGTGGTTCTCAAAGTGGGGTCCCCAGACTGGGAGCACCAGCAACTTGGGGAGCCATCTGAGAACTGTTACAAGAGGGGATGTGGCAGCATCTATGTGTTTCTGGGTCCTCTAAAGAATTCTGGTGCTCTTTGGGTCTAAGAAGGTATCTCAGTGGAGACAGGAGCTTCTCAAAAGGACACACTGTAGCAGCAAAGCCCAGCACTCACACCCTAGTATGGAGGAAGAATCTGGTTACTTTGTTGACTCTGGCCACAGGCCCAAGATGCATTGGGAAGTAGGATGTGACTGAGAAGAGAATTGTTGCTCCGGGTATTGCTGAGAATAGGAGTGACTGAAAGATTTGGAGATTCCTGCAGCAAATGAAGTGGGAGGGAAATGGAGACAGTGAGTCTGGGAAACATTCATGAAGACAAAGGAGTGACTCCCACTACAGGCACCGGAGGGCACATGGACAGCCATGGGTCAGATCGTGGATTTTCAACAGAATTACTGCGATACAGCTTCCTCCAATGGGACCTGTCTTAGGAAGGTGACATCTGTCAGTAAAGACTGTCTGATCACCTATGTTCTGTGGTTCTGTGCTCTGTGCTTCTCACGTGTACACATAGTGGCTTCCTGTGTGGTGTCAAGCTAAATATTGGCAATGCCATTGTAGTGTCCATACACCATTCCACCTCAGGAGCATGCCAATACACCGGCATTGACCTTCCCTTATTTGTGAGCATTTGGTTTGCTTCAGGCATGTATGGGAAGCTTCTCGGAACTAAGCCTGCTTCTTTAGTCATGTCTAGGATCTTGAGGCGCAGACTCACAAAAACTGATTTGGGTCCAAATGCTAAATACCACAGAGAACAGGGATTTCACCTGAGCTTGGAAAGGCAAAGAAAGTACCACTCAGAGAATTTATGAAGATTACTTTTCTTGCTGTTAGAATTATAGGGTGTAAGAGTAGAGTCAGGCAACTTCTGAGAGTGTGGACAGAGGAAGTTGACTGTCTTCTCCATCAAGATTAAAGCATTAGAAGCAGAGTCTTTTTGAGTGATAACCACTAGGTCAAAAGATAGTTACTTAACATCACAGAGGTCCAGTCATCTGCTAGACACAAAGGTATTTATCTGATGTCTCTGATTGCAACTCGGGGAGCACAGATTCCAGTAGAAACCAGAGTATGTTCTATTGAGGGAAGCAGAAGGTCTTCTGGAGGGTAAAAGGAGGTCTAGAGAGATGCTCGGTAGCTAATAGAGTTTGCTGCTCTTCCAGAAGACCAGAGTTCAGTTCCCATCATCTATGTCAGACAGCTCACAAACACCTGTAAATCTAACCCAGGAGATCTGACTCCCTCTTCTGGTCTCTACAAATAAGTATGCATGTGGTGTGCACACAAAGAGAAAGAGACACACACATACCTATAACTAAAAACAAAAAGTAAAATCTTTTTTAAGGGGCAAAAGAAGGAAGTTTCATTGGGTAACATGGGTTACTTCACAAAAACTATGGTTAGGGCTGAAGATATTGCTCAGTGGTAGAACAAAAGCCTGGAAAGCAAAAGGCTCTGGGCCCCATCCCTTCCACCACACACAAAAGCATTCTGATGGGAGGGTAAATGTACTTCTGTAACTTATAGTCCTTCTTAGTGATTGATTGATTGATTGATTGATTGATTGATTGATTTTTGGCCTGTGACACGTTCACTGAGTGGGCACCACAACATTCCTATCACATTTGCTCTTACTTCTGAGACATCTAAGATTAATTTGAGCGAGCTTAAGTGAAAATAAATTCCAAAGCCCACAGTCAAGCCACAGCTTGCGTGGCCAGGTCTGAGCCCCACTAGAGCTTCAAATGATGACGTCGGGGTTTTCTCCATCTCTCAGCTCCTGCTGTTTGCTGCACACAGGGTCTCTGCGGAGAGACAGTAAGGCAAAGGGAAGGATGGGTGGAGCTACACCAAGACTTCTTGCTTCTGATTGGTTGGCGTGGGGAGCTAGGCAGGTCCTCAAGGCAAATCACTGAGACTATATGGCTGAGACACCATGATTTTGGCTAGGTTTAGTTCACATGCCTGCCACCGAATCAAGGTGGAAGTCCTCCCATTGGTAGCCCCTCCGGGACCACATGGACTGGTGAGCAGAATGTATTTTAAGACAGGGCACTGCTTTGGTCTGAAGAAAAGCGCAGAAGGGACCCAGAACTGATAAAGCCACAGACCCATGTCCGCACTGCCTGTGTTTCTTTATAGTCTCGAAGACAGCCCTCCACCAGTCACAAGTTATAGCTTTAGAGCCTTTTATTTTTTTATTTTTTGCTTTTCTTTTCTAGCTTTGAGGAATAGCTGATGCGATCATCCAGAACCCTTTATAGTCTGTACATAGAAGGCCTGTTGCTGGAGTTTATTGTCCTGCCAGGTCCCACCGCCCTTCTCAGCCCCAAATAAACACATGGGGGCTATACTAATTTATGAACTGTTGCCCAATGGCTAGGACTTCTTGTTGGCCAGATCTGTCTTAATTATTAACCCATTTCTATAAATCTACGTATTTCCACATAGTCTTGGCTTACCGGAGAATGCCCAGACCTGTTCCTCCTTTGGTGGCTACATGGTGTCTCCTGTTGATCTCTCCCTGCCTCCCTTTCCCAGAATTCTCCTCATCTCCTAGTCCCGCCTATCTTCCTGCCTCTATTGGCCAAGCAGTGTTTTATTCATCAACCAATAAAGAGAAACGTATATACAGAAGGACATACCCCATCAAAAGCCTTTCCTGACAGAGTTTCCACTGTTCAGCATGGTGATGGTCCCCAGTTGGACATATCTGTGCCCATATCTGTGGGAACACCAGACCTTGAGCAGAGACCCACTTCCCCTTCTGCCTGGGAGTAGGCAGCTGTAAGACAATGTTTAGTAAAAACATGTTTACTAAAAACGATACAATAAGTTCCTGGCCACTTCCCCTTCTGCCTGGGAGTAGGCAGCTGTAAGACAATGTTTAGTAAAAACATGTTTACTAAAAATGATACAATAAGTTCCTGGGAAAGGCCTTCCCACGGAAACCGCCCTGACCTCGACCTTGTCCAGAGACTAACCGCACCTTCAAAAACCCACACACATCCACCTCTGGTGTCAGAGCAGAACCAGCCAGGGTAGAGGAGAGAGCAGAAGCTTCTCTGGTGGGAGCCTTTCTTAGGAAGTTTTTCTTGAACCTTTTTGGAGCCTGTTTAAAGTTCTCTTTATATCATTGAACGAGTCTCTGTGTTTTCAATACCCGACACCCTCCGCACGTTCTCAGACACAGGCCGTGCAGCAGACGTGACACATATCTGTGGACTTTTATATTTTTTTTGGAACTTGAAGCTGAGATCTGTCCAGCCTGAGTGTCATTCTCACAACTGTGTCCCCAGGTGTAAGCTCAGGTCCTCAGCACAGGAAGGAGCAAGGCTTAATTGCATCAGAAGGGAAGTTTGCTTAGCATGTTTTCAGCCAGTGCAAATCCATTCTTGAAAATTGAGTTAGAAGTGCCATCCCAGCAGTCACCAAACCCATCGTTTTCCTATTCTCCTAAATGAATTAGAAAGGCCCTTTGTTCTCACTTTGCAACAGGACTCGTTTTTTTTGCTTTTGTTTTTGTTTTTCAAGAGCATCTATAAAAGCACAGAACAGGACTAAACCCCTAAAGAGGCCCATGGCTGACATCCATCTGGTCAGGAGACCAGGTTCAACCAGATTGTTGTCTTCAGCAAGGCTAATACTCCACCCTGGGCCTCAGTTTCCACATATATAAAATAAGGGGTCCAGGCAATTGGGGCTTCTGGTATCCGTTCCAGTCTCACGACTGTTGGATCCAGGCTTGCTTGGCTGGCCAGAGATGGTACCACATGGACAGGAGGTCAACTTCTTAGAAGGCAGGAGCTGTCCCTCTCTATTATCCGTGTGTAATAATGGTCTCGATGGGTAGCCCTGCCTAGCATTGAAGATGGGTAGCCTGGGCTAGTCTTGAAGATGAGTAGCCTGGGCTAGCCTTGAATTCGTGGTCTGCTGCCTCATGCTTCCTCAGTACTGTTACACAGCCCCACAATTTTCTTCAGGTGCAAACATGGCAGCATAAGGATGGACGATGAGCTCCAGGCCCGTGTCCCATGAAGGAGCACTTTCTGGAAGCAGTGGAGCTACACCAAGACTTCTCACTTCTGATTGGTTGGCGCGGGGAGCTAGGCCCGTCCTCAAGGCAAATCACTGAGACTATATGGCTGATTAGCTAGGTTTAGTTCACATGCCTGCCACCGAATCAAGGTGGAGGTCCTCCCATTGGTAGCGGTTGGCCACGCTCACCAAATGCCCTGGCCTCTGGACTGACAATGCTATAGTAGGACGTTCTCACTACAGAGTCCATTTCAGAAGAAAACTGCGACATAGAAAGGCCAAATACGGCCACAAGTCAAGTTTGCCAGGTTTCAAAGGTCATGACAACAGCCACAATCCTTTCAGATCCCCCGGATCTGGGGACTATCGCAGAAGGAGAGACCGGGGACACCGAGGAGTGACCTCAACTCAAAGGGCAAGCCAGGCAGGAACCTGCAGGAATGAGCATACCCCAGCAAGCCCCGCTTCCCTGCAAATCACCTAGCTTCCGCTGGCTCCAGAATGCAGACTGTGGTCAGAAGGCACGCACAAGGCCATAAAAACTATGTTACAATGTTCCCAGCTCCCCAAAATGCTCCCCACTCCTCTCCACCCGTATAAATGAGATGCCAATTATTCCATTTGTGGGAGAGGTGGAAGCATAACGAAGTAGATGTTTATAACGCTTGTTAGTGGCAGAGGGGAACATCCCGTTGCTCTGGCTTTGACAGCCAGTTCCGTCTCCCAGGTGCACCAAATTGAAAACCTCCGAAATCACAGCCGTCAGTGCTAAACGGCATTTACGTTCATCATGGGGTGGATACAGGAGCCACAAAATGTGGTTTGCCTTAAGCAGCGCACAAACTTAGAGAAATGCATGTCGCTAATTACAAAATTATCCTTTAAAAAAACAGATTCTATCGAATTCATATAATAGACATTAATTCTTTAAAACAAAAAGTGTTCATCAGCAAATGCCTCTATAGCGCTGCTTAAAACAAATCACATTTGTCCCTGAGGGTGTGGTTCACAATATGGTTCCAGTCTTTTCTTTCAGCACCTCTAAGTAACATTAAAATCATCATTACGAACCCATCAGGGGCTCATGGAAAAGCTCTTAGGCAAGTAGGAAGCCCCAACCTGGTCTGGTGGCCAGCTAAGCTGTCCTAGCAGGCAAGCAGCTGAGGTGGCCAGGCGAAGAGCAGCCCTGCTTCCCCCACAGACCGCTTTGTATTTTGGTTGTGTTCATGGGGTGGGGGGTGGGGGGGTGATCTTTCCTGGAAATACTCTTAAAGACTCACCTAGAATCGAGTCTCTTAGTTGCTTCCTGATACAATCAAGTCCACAATCAAGATTAAACATCACAGACATGCTAGAAGCAAGTACCACAAAACAAAACAAAAACAAACAAAAAAACCAAACCCTCACACCTCATTCCTAGGAAGGAGGAGCCAGAAGCCCACAAGTGCCTTTCCAGGCACATCCCCAGTGACTTAAGGGCCTCTCCTAGGCACCACCTTTCAGACACCCCGCCATTTCACCTGGAAGATAATCCTCTAGCACACAGGACTTTGGGGGACACTTACCCGAAGCGCAGCAGTGGCCCTGGAAGCAGTCAGGGCAGAGACTGGCTCTCTGTGGAGAACTGAGCTGCAAGAGTGCAGACCAACCTGTGAGCAGCGGAGACACAGCCCAGAGCTTTATCTGTCTTGTTTCCGAGGCCTGCTGATGCCCAGCCCACTATCAGGTTCCAATACCTTAGTTAGGAAGTAGGTCAGACATGCAAAGCCATCCTTTCCTCTCCTCCTCCTCCTCTTCCTCCTCCTCCTCTTCCTCCTCCTCCTTTCTGAGGCAGGGCTTTCTGAGTAGCTCTGGCTATCCTGGAACTCACTCTGTAGACCAGGCTGCCCTCGAGCTCAGAGATCAACCTGCCTCTGTCTCCTGAATGCTGGGATTGAAGGTGTGTGCCCCCACGCCTGGCTAAGAAAGACATGCATTTTGCAATTTTCTTTTTTTAGTCATGGGATTTGAACCCTGATCCTCCTTCATGTGAGACCAGCGCTCTGCCATTAAGCCACGTTTCCAGTCCTTTTCCCACTTAGGCCCTAGTTTCTGCCCTCTTCATTGCTCTGTCCAATTTTCCTTTTTTGTTGTTGTTATTTTTTGGTTCCTTCATGATCCTTGACAATCATATGCCAATCCCACCCAGAATGAAAGAGAATGGACGAATGATTGCACCTGAAGCAGTCTCAAGTGAATGAGAGGGATTGAAATAACCCACATCGGTTTTTTTTTTTTCAAAGCTGTTGCTTCAGTAGTCAGCAGGAGAAAAAAAATTAGCTAATACCGGAGAGGGACACAGGAAATTGCAGCCCATTTTTACTAATTACTGACTTTGAAGTACTCGGTTGTTTTGTAACAATACATTCTGTACATAATTGCCCTCCCTGTTTTATTGACAAAGCACACACCTCTTCTAGGATTTGAGATAATGGGGGGGGGGGGTCTCACTAGCATTGTTTGTTTTTTGAGACAGGGTTTCACTGTGTAGCCCTGGCTGTCCTGGAACTAACTCTGTAGTCCAGACTGGCCTTGAACTCACAGAGATCCCCTTGCCTCTGTCTCCTGAGTGCTGGGATTAAAGGCATGTGCCATCACCACCTGGTGGTCTCTTTAGCTTTTTTGTTTATTTTTTCCTTCTCTCATATATTACATCCTGACCACAATTTTTCCTCCCTCCCTCCTTCCCTCCTTTTCTCCCTCCCTCCTTCCCTCCCTCCCTCCCTCCCTCCCTCCCTCCCTCTGTCCCTCCCCAGGCTCATTAGCTTTTATTACTTCAATCTGATAAAGAACATCTAGGCTGTTCCAACCCTCTCCACTCCCTAAGCTGTTGCCCGTATTCTGACTCTGACTTGGCCCCCCCGGTGCTGGGGTTACAGACGCTCACCTTTGTGCCCAGCTTTTATACGGGTGCTAGGGATCTGAGCCCGGGTCCTCGTGGCTGTACAGCAAGCCCTTCAGAGCCCATCTCCCCTTCTGTGCTCGTTCACTCAGCCCCTAAAGAGTGCCAGGCCCTGCTCAGGAGGGAGAAGGGGCATTTGCGTGAAAGGAGACAAAGCATGCTACTACTATACTACTAGGGACAGCTGACGATGGGAAGGGGGGGCGGTGGTGCGGCATGGAAATGGGAATGTGGGTGTGGGTGTGGAGACGGGTGCCTGCCTTAGTGAAAAGGCCAGCAAAGAGCTCTGCGGGCGACCGTGGGGGCACAGATAAACAGGAGGTGAGGAGGCGACCAAGGCGGATTCCAGGGAAGCAGAGTAAAGGCTTGAAGCAAGAGGGCGCCCCGTGTATCCCTGTGACAGCAAGGGAGCCTGCATACCTGCAATAGGGGAGTGACAGAACGGGTAAAGAGGCGGCCAGGAGCCCACGAACAGCCTATAGCTCAGGCCAAGTTCTGGCCCAGAAGACAGATCCACCCAGGGACTGGGCCCTGGGCACTCTTATACACCTGGCTTACATCCCATGTCCCCAGTAAGAGCACACACATGGTGATGGCTAAGAAAAGCATCGTGAGCCCAGCACAGTGAGTGGCACTCGCCTGTACATGCCAGTACTTGGGGGAGACGGAGGCAAAACCTGCTTTCTCCTGGCGATGCAGGTGTCACACCACGGTGCCGTTGTGATCCACGCGGTATAACTAAAGCAGATGGCCCTCAAGAGAGCTACACAAACAGTAGGTAGTTAGAGCTGTTAAACAGGCAAAATTGTCAGGCAACAAGTACTATAACAGAGCCTCTGCCCTGTTCGAGCAGGTAAGACAGAGAGTAACTTATCTCCTGTTCTCAAGGCCCCGGTTATCCAAAATGATTGCCCTCTTTCCGTTCACCTGCAGACTGGAAGCCATGTGATGCTCTGAGTGGGGATCACACTTCTGGTTTGGGCAGGGTAGCAGTCTTGGGCAGGCTCTGGGAATGTGGTCTGGATGAAGGAATAAAGGGCTATGCTGCCAACAACCTGACTCTCCAAAAACAAAAAAGATCTTGTTTCTTTGCTTGTGGTTGGTTTGGTTGGTTGGTAGTCCAGGCTAGACTTGAACTACATCAAGCTGGCTTTGAACCCCTGATCCTACCTCGAATTTCTGAGTGCTGTCACAGTTGTATGTCATCATATCCATCTACAAACAGCTTAGGAGCTACACATGAATCTACTGATATTTTAATTATTTCCTATGGCCTCACAACCCCACAGTCAGTGCCCCATTGGCCACCCAGGCTGCAGCCTGGCAGGGCTTCCAGTCCCATGGCCCCAACTCTGCTGCTGCTACGACATGTAGGTTTGAATTAAGTCTTTATCATTCTTTTTATCAATAAGACTCAGGAGTCAAAGGCTGGGGTGAAAACCTGCTAGCTCAGAGAGGTTGAGAAGCAACCAGCTGGCCTTGCCTTTTGGCTAGAGACACTGCAAGAGACACATCTCTCTCTTCAACCCAGAACTAAAAGGAAGTGCCAAACTCAAGTCTCCGCCCTTTCTTTCCTGTGTATCTTCTCTACCAAAATCGCTGGCTTCTCTGTGGCCAGTTCTGGTCAGCTAGCCACTGGCTCCACCCCCTGATTCAAGGTTTAGTTTTACTGTCAAGTCTTGGGAGTGTCAGAGTGGGGTCACAATATCCCACAACAGGGTGTAGTGGCATCTCGCCTTGCCAGTGAACTTGTATTAGTGGCCACACCCTTTCGGATGTGGTTTCAGGTGTGGACAGGACCCTTTTAAGGTAGAGGAGCATGGAGCATGCTCTCGCTTGGGTTGAGGAGAGAATCAGAAGGGCAGAGACTGCATCTTCTGGAGCAGGAAGGCCTCGAAGTCCACGGAGGTTATTTACTCTTATCTGTGTAAGTTGTTCCCTAATAAAACACCTATTTTTTATCTTGAGTCTGGTTGACTCATTTAAGCCCCACCTTCAAAAAGGAGCCCTAGGGAGCTCAACATACTCCTATCTAAGTCCCAGAAAATGTCACCTGCTGTCTGTCATGGATGCAGACCTAGCTCAAGACTCACTCCTTGATGACTAGACCTCTTTCAGCCCTAGGGAATCACCTAATAATCCCTGATGTGAGACACACATCAGCCACATGGCTCATATTCAAACTGTTCTGCCACTCCAGGCTGTATATTTTGTTCCTGATATGCAAGACTAAAAGGAGAATTCATTTTAGATAAGAACATGAAACTGTACATTGCCTCATCTGACAAGACAAAGTGTAAAAAAAAAAAGAAAAATGGAGGTATGCCCCGCCCTTAAGGGAAGTCAACCCTTTCCACAAAGAACAAGGATACTCCAGCCATACTGGGTTAGATTGATAGGAACTATAAAACCAACTAGGTAGCACTGAGAAGGCACGACAAATGCTGGCTTACAAGCACCCATTACCACAGTCCCATGCAGGGTGGGTACCAGCACCCCATTGTCATTAGGGAACTAAGACTTAATGACTTGGTATTTTAGGGACCTCTATTATGAGATTCTCCCTTCCTCTCCCTCCCACCCACCTCCCCATCATTCCAATCTTATTCTTTGTTAGAAAATAATTCAGAAGCTAGGTGTAGTGATGCACATCTTTAGTCCCAGCAGCACTCCGGAGGCAGAGGCAGGTGGTCTATGTAGTGAGTTCCAGGACAACCAGAGCTACATAGTGAGACTCTGCCTCAAAAGGAGGAGGAGGAGGAGGAGGAGGAGGAGGAGGAGGAGGAGGAGGAGGAGGAGGAGGGAGGGAGGGAAAACAATCTAGAGAAATGTAGTCAGCATTCTGTACCCAGCAATGACTATTGTCTTCTCCTTTGCAGACCCTTGGGGAAGCTTAGCTGGTTTAGGGGGAGGACCACTCTTTGGTTCATGAATGGCTTCAAACTATTTAGGAGTCGGTCAACACTGGTTTCCAAGTATGGGGCCAAAATACAAGGAAAGAACAGCTTTTTCTGTTTTGTTTAAGCAGTCAGTACTGGGGATCGAACCCAGGGCTTCAGGTTTGTAAAAATACCAGGCAAGCACTCTACCAACCGAGCTGCACTGTCTCCCCAAAAGCGTCTGTTGTAGTTCTTTAGAAACTGTGTAGCCCAGGTTGTCCTCCAACTCATAATTCTCCTGCGCACCATCTCAATCCTGGGATTTTGCTTGTTTGCCTGAGACAAGTTCTCCTGTAGCCCAGGCTGGTCTCTCCAAGGACACTGAACTCTATCTAGATCATCCTACCTCCATTTCCCAAGCGCTGGGGTTACAGACTTGTGCCATCACACCCAGCACTCAGGTAGGCTTTTTAATATAAATTGCATCTTGATGGATTATTCTTGATAGCTCCCTCCCCACAGCATACATCCCAGAAGACGCTGACATTCATGGGCTCTTAACATAAAAATTGTGGTGTCTGTGTGCTCACTAGACTAAAGGTATCCTGCAAGAGGGGTCACCTAGGAGCAGGACTCTCAGCGGGGAGCCTCAAGCATCCAACCTCTGGAATTTACATTCCGATAGCTCCACCCAACACCAAGACTCCTCAGAGTTCTTGGATTTTTTTTAAGCGTTCTCTTCCTGTAAGAATACAAATGCTGGAGACACAATAAAGCCAGCCAGAATCCAGATCTGAGTCTTTCTCAAGTCAGCAGAAGGGTACAAGGAGCTAGCAGCGTAGAATTATGTTTTTGGCTCCTGAGGTAGCCTAGGAACATTCTCCTCTTTCGGTGTCTCCTATGTAGTAATGGGGTACTGATGAGCCCTAAGGGGAGTCCTCGCAGGCTCTCCTCGGCGTGACAAAGCGGCCGTCTTGGGCTCCCGGACCCGTTCTCGGCTTCCCGCCCCCGGGGCTCCC